ATTCGGCGTGTCATTGTTGTTGGACGTTATGTGGCTGGAAAACATTCAGTTCGCACCAAATTATGATATATGTTGTAGGTCATTCCATGCCTTTAAACCCTGGTTCAGTAAACATTCACAACTGCTTTAGAAAACGAAGGCATTTGATAAATGAAAAATGGCTTTATCGGCTCAAGATGGCACGGTGTACAGTAATACAGCGACCATATGATCATGCGCTCAAATAATGAGCTCGAGAAGTCAGAACAGTGGAATCGTAAATTAAACCGGAATTCTTCGAAATTCATTAGTTTAACAGAAGTTTCCTATGGCTCTGATTGAGAGCTTTTCAAGAAATGTTGCATGACGCGATCGGAGTGGGGTTGAATGAAACAGTTGATGCGGGTGACCAATAAATTCAAACTCATGACCACAGGACTTCACGACCATCGACGGCTACGCCAAACGTCTCAGGCCGCATTCTGGTTGGCTTCCACGTGTTAACAACAGGAGGAGACTGTAGCATTTTTTCGAAAGCACCCCTCTTCCTAAAGTCCGTAGGTATTTCATACAATGCGTTCATGGTTGATGCCAATAACTGTACTTATGTGTTATGAGTTGAGAAGATGAATCAAGTGTGATTCAAAACTTGGGGCAATTTGCAAAGAGTGTAAATGGATCTGCGTCTATACTTAGTTCCTCCATGTTGTATCGATATCGACGTCGGCGTCGGCATTGTTTCCGCTCCCACACGAGAAGTTCATGGACAGAAGAAAATGGTATATACTCAACCTATTTGTCTAATAGGGTCAATCTCCTTTTCTTAGTCTTAAAATCTACTGAGGTTACTTGTGGTAACAAAAAATAAGAGTCGTTCCTCACGAGGTCCTTCCGTGAGGTAAAGGTGACTGCCCTTATGAAAGATTCTAGCGGTATCTTTTAAATTAGTAGGCTAATTGAAAACGACGTTATACCTGGAAGAACTTACCAATAGTTGTGAGCACAGTGCTGACGAAGTAGAAAGAGCCGAAAAAATCCCAGCTTGTTTTCTGAGGCGAAATGCCGGCGGCAGACATGCTGCCTCGTAAGTCCAGAAGGTAGTCCAGTGCCGAGCAGTTACCGAGTATCGTCGAGTGACAGTACGCAGCTTTGAAGGCACTCAGTTCGTGGTGGAACACGTTGCGCTCCATGTCCTCGTGTTGTTTCTCAATCAAGGAAAATAGGAATGCTCCAGCAGTCAGATACAGGGCGATGATGAGGGCCAGGAGGATCATATGCGTGTTTTCCTCGCCCAGACGACGAAAGACACGAGCGCTCGGCCTATGATGCGGTCGAGTCGCGAACTTCATCAAAATGCTTCTCTTCCGGAACGACACATGGTTCTTGCGGGACTTCGCTGCTTTGTTCATCTGTTCTTTTGGGAACGAAGGCAAACATCGAAAGCCGGAGTCAATGAGGAGCAGCAGGCAGTGGTTCGTATGCGGTCACCAGCAGCAGCATGACCCTCTTTGTTGCCGTAACGATTTATGTTGGTCTGAAGAAAGCGCCTTTGTCGTTGGCGGTCAAACAGCAATCTTCAAGCAATGTTTCCCGATTCTCGCCAACAGATGGCATCGCTGTCACTGAACTGAGGTCTTCTTGTAGTAGGGGAGACAAATGTACAACGACGATGCTCTGTTCGTGATCGCAACCAGCTGTCTCATAGAAGTCACGGTCATCCGTTCAGATCGATCGCCGTTTAATTGGGCGGCTTTGGTGACAACCGTTGCCCAAGACAACCTATCCGAATGCGGGGTAATGCAACCGACTGAAAAAGCGGCACAAATGTTCACCGTGAAGAGGGTCCACGGTGGTGAGGAGGCAAATACTGCTGGTGTGCCAATTTTGACTGCATTTAGCTCCTGACGCTGACGCCAGTTTCATTCAGTGGCGAGGAGATGTACCGACAGATGCAACTCAACGGCGAACCAATGTCCGCACTCAGACCGTTTCACTCAACGTCAAGTGACACACAGCATGCTTTTTGGGTGTAGTTTGCCTCGCAGCCGGTCTCATGACAGCCATGTGTTTGTCACTGTGTGACGATAACCGACAGTACTCGATTAATAGGCAAAAACAAAAAAGGCAACACTAACTAACCCTATGCACAGATGCTTTGAGACCTCGAATGTTGTCCGTAGCAGCTGCATGATGCCGTCAAAAACAGACGCTGATTGTTACTTAGCGACAACATTGGCCACCGATGTGTCAGGAGCAATTTACCAAATGAGTTCGCGAAGTTAACAGTCGACGGGTAATTGGAAAACCGGTCAAAGCAAGCCGACTCATACCTACTCATGTGAAGTACCCGCAATGTGAAATGTAACTTCATCAGTTCTGAGGTTCGACAACAGTTGCCACCGGCACTTAGGGATTACTAATTCAGTGCTCTTTCGATCACTCACTCATGAGCATCGTCTTTACAGAGGAGTTTCAGCAAGTTCATGGAAGCCAGTATTTCTATCCCACGTATAATTCTTAGTACTAAAAGTTGGAGCTTCGATAGAAGGTAATTTTTAAACTTTACAAACCAGGGTACATTTTCTTGATTGGTTTTAATCTTTTGAATACTGCAGCATTTCGTTACCTGTAAAGTTATGCTAATTCCATACTTCTTATTGAATTGGGTGACAATGCGGAAAGTGGCTCCTTCAATAACCTAACGCGTTTTTGTAAATGGCATGAGCTGAAATATTCAGTATTAAACCTATAACCAAAAGAATGTAGACATTTTTTCCCGTTGCTGTAAATCATAGCTTGGCAGAGGTACACTTTGTACACTAATGTAAGTGTAAAGCTGATTTTTGACTCCATAGCATTTATTTCAGTAGTACACGAGCAACTCTTCAGTTTGCACACACCAACGACCATTCTCTCGCTATCTACATGGAGCAAATAATCTTCCAGGGGCAACCAATTTCTGCCAGGTCGTTAACCAGTCAAATCTTAAGGTCAGATTATTCCATTCTGGTTCTGCGCCAGTGGGCCAATCAACTCCCAGAAATATGACAGTTTCTTTCTGCCCATGCTTTTCCATAAAACTACCGCAGCGCGTGGAGGTGGAATGCAGAACAAGGGAATGTCACGTGCAGAAAACGGGATAATCGTCACGTATGCAACGAATAATATAAGGATCAGCATGCAAAGACAAAATGAGGCGAATGCGTTTGCGTTTTCCTCAACGATTACTCTCCAGCTGGAGTGAAAATTCTTCGAACAACTATGTTTTAGCCACAGGCCAAAATATGGATTTGTATAGAGGAAAGTCGCCTGTATCCTTGAAAGAATTTGTCCATGTGCCATTGTTACGTTTGGGGCGTTTATTGACCGATGAATTGTCCCTTGAAA